TTTTTTTTTTTTTTAGTTTTTGGCGGACACAACATCTTTGTTTGTATGTGGTGCTGAGGATCGAACCCGGGCCGCATGCATGACAGGCGAGCGTGCTACTGCTTGAGCCACATCCCCAGCCCCTGCTCTGATATTTATACTTCTGTATTTTTAAAACACCTGCTTTTAAAAAAATATGGCTGTAGGCAAGGGGTTGCTAGATATAGCATACAAAACTTAAACTTGAACTTCAGATAAACCAACACTTTTTTTGGGGGGAGGGTACTGAGGATTGCATTCAAGGGCACTTAACCACTGAGCCACATCCCCAGCCCTGTTTTGTATTTTATTTAGAGACAGGGTCTCACTGAGTTGCTTAGCACCTCACTTTTGCTGAGGCTGGCTTTGATTTCAGGAATTGCCTGCCTCAGCCTCCTGAGCCACTAGGATTATAGGCATGCACTATCACACCTGGCCAACATATTTTTAGTATATGTAAATCCCATGTAATCTTTGATTTGAGGTTTTGATCTGTGAAAAATATTTTAGGCTAAAATTCTTGTAAGCTATCTTCGTGACATTTTAAATGTTTCCTCATAATTTGTGTTCTGCAACAAACAAATCTGAACTCTTAATGTGGAAGAAATTTTGAGGGCTGGGGGTGCAGTTAAATGGCAGAGTGCTTGCCTAGCATACACAGGACCCCAGGTTCCATCCCCAGCACTGAAAACAAAACTAAACTAAACAGAAAATCTTGTGATGGGGGATGTTGCTCTTTGATCTAGCTATAACTGCAGAAAAGAAAMGAAAAAAATTAATAATATTCTTTCTGGGCATATACTTATTGCATAATGGTCCATTTTGAGTAATAAGGATTTTGAAAAGCTCCCTTACACAGTGAGGCACCTAGAAAGCCATTACCTGAGCCTGGGAAGAAGAAACCCATGGAGACAATAAGGTGATCTTTAGGCTCAGCTCTAGGAGGAAGTGAAAGCTACAGCACAACTGTAAAAAGACCTGCATAAGCATTAAAGGAAGGTCCCAATAGAGAGCCAATCTACAAAGATCTGGAGAGCATTTTATTTTTTATTCTTTTCTGGTCATCATTTTTTGTTTCCTGTCTAGCTTTAAACAAAAAATTAAGACACATGCAAAGAATAAGAAAGTACGGCCCAGTCACAGGAAAAAAGAAAAGAAATTAATGAAAACCATCTCTGAGGAAGGATACATTGGAGTTACTAGATAAGGGCTTTAAATTAACTATTTAAAAAATGCTCAAATATATAAGGAACCATGGACAAAGAACTAAAGGACATCAGGAAAACAAATGTCTCAATAAATGGAGAATAGCAATAAAAATAAATTATAAAAAAGGAATACAAAGATACAATGGAGATAAAAAGTTAAAAAAATTATAATATTCACTAGAGTGGCTCAATAGCAGATATGAGCAGAGATAAGAGGAAGAAGAATCAGAGAATTTGAAGATAGGGAAAATAAAATTATTCAGTCTGAAGAACAGAAACTAGACGAATAAGGAAAAAAGGAACAGACCCTTTGAGACTTGTGAGACACTACCGACATTATTCAAATACACAAAATGGGAGTTCTAGAAGGAAAGAAGAAAGAAGGGGACAGGATATTTGAAGACATAATGGCTCAAAACTCCCCAAAAATAATAAA